AAGACTCAACGAGACAAGACTCAACGAGACAAGTATCAACAAGACTCGATGAGACAAGACTCAATGAGACAAGACTCAACGAGACAAGACTCAACAAGACAAGTATCAACAAGACTCGATGAGACAGGACTCGAGATAAGAGGAGACAAGATCAGACAAAACGCAGAAAGACTCGATGAGATGAGACTCAAAGAGACGAGACTCTATGAGATGAGACTCAAAGAGACGAGACTCTATGAGACGAGACTCAAAGAGACGAGACGCAGCATAAATTCTTGTGAACTCTGAGATGGCAGTAAACTTTGTCTAATGCCAAAGAGAAAAACGATCTGATGATATTTGATGTTCACAGATCTCTCATAAGTGAAACATCCACATTGAGATCCACGATGTGTTTTGTCAGAAAGCATGAAGTTCTCCTCGAGAGGCCGTAAACTGAGTTCAGCTCTCACATGTTCCGCTCACGCCTCACTGTAAAACAAGTGCTTGAGCTATAATGGATGCTCAGTCGGAAAGTTAGATCCTCGGCCTGCAGGGACGTTAATTCAACAGAAACATGGAGCCACTAAAAAACCCAGGAAGGTTGATCAGTGATTCTGTTTGAAGTTCTGCAGAGTGAAGCCTCGGAGCAGAGCCCGGTTACTGCTGAGTTCGAACACTGAAACTGAACCGAACCAGAAAAACAACAGGTCCTGTTCATCAGACGTCAACATGAGGCTCAGCAGGTTAACGTCAGCTTCAACATATCACAGCTTTGTTTCCCTTTAAATCTCCTGTGGTTCCTGTCCCACCTAAAGGACGAGGAATTAAATAACTGTTAAAAAATGTAAATGTCGTCGGCTCTATTCTCAGACCCTTGGCTTTAGCTGGAGATATTTTGCTGCATCGTGTCCAACAACACTCAACTCTTGTAAACAACACTGTAAACCATGGAAACAATCAATCCATGGTAAACTAGAAGGATATAACTAAGGATGCTCTGAGAGCACAAACCTCCGCCAAGACTAGACCAGGTTAAAGAAAGTGAAAAATGAAATCCTGGATCCTCTCGTATACCAAGATATGGTCCAAAATCGACCTCAATACCACGGCTCCACGCTACCATCACTGTAGGAAACCCAATTAAAACACAATACTTCCTGATCATGTGCACAACATGTGTCCGATATCAACAAGACATACAAACTACATGTGTTTTACATGACTGAAACAGGACGGCAGTGTCACACAGGAAGTAAAGTTCCTCAGCTGGAATTGAAACGGGGACGTTGTGAAGTAGAATGTGAACGGTTCCGCTGACAGAACACAGTGTGAGAGTGAGGGTTCAGTTTCAGTTAAACATGGTCCTGACCGATGGAAACTGAACTTAAAATCACTTTACCTACATTTGAAAAGGTTCAACAGCTCCTGGGATAACCTGGCATTAAGTTTAATTTCAACAAACTTAATGTTTTTGTGTGGAAAGTTATTTTTCAAGTTGTTTTTCAGAGCAAATAATAAAACTATTGATTTATTTTTTATCTAAAATCAACTCTAAGGCTAAACGTAAAAGGAACGTAGGCACAGTAGAATATTTAAGACCTTTATAAACATAGAGAAACGGAATTTAAAGCTTTTAACCTGATGATCTCAAGGAGCTGACTCACCTGTAAACAGCTGGGTAGGGCGGGGCGTACATGTACCTGTCATCCAGAGCCCCGCCCCCCAAGCACAGCAGGTAGCTCGCCATGACTATGATGAGTGGGCGGGGCCAGCACACTCACACCCAGTCTATGATGTCAGTACCATCACAGTAGCCGCCAATCAAACAAGATCCACATTGATAGCTCTGGTCTGAGGAGGCGTTACCGAGGGGACGGCAGTGATGTCACTGATCTGCTGCCGTCATGATAACGTCAGTGTTTCTGTTGTGGAATCATCCGGCAGCAGCAGCGTCTCCTCCTCCGGTTCGTCTGTTTCCAGTCGTCCTCAGTCTGACTTTTCCTCTTCACCTCTGTCAGCTCCTTCCTCCTCCTTCTCTTCTTTCTTTATTTCTTGCTCTCCTTAAAAATGTTCTGCCGTCTTCTTTTTCTCTCAACAACTTCTCCACACAACTTTCTCTCCTTCTCTCAGCCGGATCCTCTTGTCCCTCCCTCTCGTGCATCAGTTATTTTCCTTCACTGAGGGGATGGAGGTTTGTGTTTCCTCCCCCATTTGACCGGGGACGCTCCTCCTCCTCCCTCTGTCCTCTCCTTCCCCTCTTCCTCTCTTTGTCTCCTCTTACCTTCCTCTCACTCCATCAACCTTCCTGGAAGAAGTTTGTATCTTTTTCTTTTCCACAAAACAAACTGCACATTTTATTTTCAGGATTTTACTCGATTGGGAAAAATAAAACTGTGTTGAGATTATTGAAGTTTAGTTAAATCTGAAGTTAATAAACTCTTTAATAGTTTATTTCACCTTAACCCCAGTATTAACATTTCTTATGTCTTAACTATGATCTCCACTTTATTTCACTTTTCATCTTTTGTGAAAAGCATCTTATTTGTTATGAAAAGTGTGATCTGCTGCAGAATAACAGTTATTTAGTGTGTGATTATTTTTTAATAAAAATCTAAAAACTATATGGATTTTTAAATGCACTTATTCTATTTCTTTTAGCAATGCTTAACTTTAAACTTTCATTTAAAACTGTTTTAACTAACCAAAAATCTCCACTTTAAATAAATACTAATCTATAGTTTTAAACTAAAGACGCAGTTCTCTGTTCCCAGTGTAAACGGTTCTGTTTTGTCTGTTTGTGAGCTGAACACAATAAACTACACACTGAGCAAACCAGTGAAAGCAGGTCAGAGGTCAGAGGTCACGACAGCCAGACAACAGATGGAAAAGATCAACGTGAATAAGGAGGAGGAGGAGGAGGAGGAAGAAGGGGAGGAGGAAGATGGTGTTCAGGGAGTGTCTCTGGTTTTCTGACAGGAGTGAGAGGTCTCTCTCTCTCTCTTTCTTTTCAAACGCTGACTGAATGAATCCATCTGGAATTTCCCTCTACAGGCTGATAAAACTGTGTGTGTGTCTATGTGTGTGTGTGTGTGTGTGTCTATGTGTGTGTGTGTGTGTGTGTGTGTGTGTGTGTGTGTGTGTGTGCGCAGCAGTAGTTTAGATGTGATCTTGTTTTTCATGAGTTTAATTTGTTTTCTGCTGGAAACAATAAAGTTTGTGTTTGAATTAGAATTCTGCGTCCACACCCAGTGGACAGAGTCCAGACGCCTCAGACCGAGACACACAAACCTCCAGCTGCAGTTTCAGCTGTTTGTAAAAGTCAAACGAGTGAAGAGTTCTGAGGAGATTCTCAGTCGTGAGTCAATGAACACGAATCAGAGACGAAACTTTTATAACAGCAACAACAACCATGTCCAGTCGTCAGATCCAAAACTCCTCTACAGCTCAGACGATTCCAATAATCTCATCTGAGGTAAAGGAAAAAAACTAACACGATGTTCTCACCCTGTGAATAAAAAATATACCAACTACTTATTAATAAAATAATGGTTTGGGTTCTTCTCTGTCAGAATTCTCTGATTTCTGAAATGTTAGTGTCTGGACCTGAACTATCAGCTGACTGCAACTCACGTCATGTGACCAGTGATTTGGTTGAAGTAACCGTGAAGGTGCAGATCTGGAAGAAAGAGGATGTGGAACCCAAACTAATCATCAGATAGGACGGAGAACATCCAGGAGCGACTCACAAAACAAACCTTCTCTTTATCGGTAACAGCAGCGACAACTTGCAACGAAGAATAAAAACTGATCAACAAAGACAAATAATCGAAAAAAAAGTGCCAATGACCTGCAGCTGCTGATCAACAGAAAACATCTGGACTGATTTATTAAAAAAAGGAGGAGTTTCATGAACACATCAGAAACAAGAACAATTCTGCAGCAGGAAACTGTAGGTCCCTCTTTACCACACACACACACACACACACACACACACACACACACACACACAC